AATTAATAAGAATTATTAAAAGTAATAAATGAAATAAAAATAAACTAAAAATATTAATTAATAATTAATTAAGCATATTACATATTTATTTTTTAATCCTGAATTAATTAATTTAATAAAAAAACGTGACAGAAAATAAATGAACAAGCATAGTTTTTCCTCCCATTATTAACGATGGCTTAAAATTTTCAACGTTCAATTTACTTATATTTTTTACAAATAGTTTTATTTAAATTTATATTCATAATCAAAGACGTAAAGTAGATTTGTCTCGGAAGTGCACCTGCCAACTGTTGCCTACTTTTCTCCTTTTGCATAAGTTCCACTAAGCTTTGATGTACACATTTTTTTTTCTCAAATTGATGGAGAGAAAAAAATGGTGAACTACGAAAAAAAAAATACAAAATTCAAACACTAAAATTTAAAATACATGATTTAAATTACCTCAAAACCATGCTCGTGGATTGAACTTGCAATCTGTGAATATAACTTCTTGCTCTAGATAATAATTCACTTTTCCCAACAACCATCAATTTGATCAGACCCGTTGAAAGCACATGTGTACCATCGGTATTGGCGTCGAAATCGGAGGCTGTTGACTCTCATCATTAACACCTGCTGCTAAATTCTGCTTTGTCTCTCACGCGCTCTATCATTTATTCTGGGTCGGTACTCTGGATTTAATGGTAATCGCACGCAAGAGTGTTGATATAATGCCGTCCCAGAGATATAATTATGGCCCACTCTTCGCAGCACTCGTCGGTAAAATGTGAATAACGACGCGCTAGTTTATGCGAGTTGAGTTTGACAGGCATTATTATATATTCCTCGACTACCGGCGCAAACTTTCCAACCAACAAAGGCGGCGGCGGCAATTTCTCTGTTGCCCCCGAGAGAGATGTTATATATTTCTCCGTAAATAAATAGGCAAATAATCCTACCGTTGTGTGTCGTTTTGGTTCTGATGTGCGCGAGATATGATCTGAATCGTGTTCGATTGTACTCGTGCAGTGTTTCGACTTCTTGAGCCAGATGTTTATCAACAAACCCGCGGCCGCTCCTTTTGTCCGCAAAGAGAGTTTCATTTACAGCCAATTGTTGTTATTTCCTAATGAATGCGGCAATGTTCTTATTGGACTGTGCTGGGAATATTTGGAAAATTGCACTGCCCCCGATTCCATTTAATTGATCGTCGCCAGATGCGAGATGTGCGCAAAGTTGTCAAGAATGACGCCTGCAAATGGAATTGTTTGCACCGGCGATATTTATTGTCCGACCGTTTTTTATCTACCTCAACGTGCCTAACTATATCGAGGTCTGAACTGCTTTCTCAAATAATACGCCCTGAATTTCCTCACAACAAGGAAGTGTTATTTTGACTCTATTGTCTGAAATATTCATTTTTATGTAATTTTTCGTTAAAAAATATTTTTTTATTAATTATATGAATTATAATCAAGAGTCCTTATTAGCTTTACAAACCGCGTGATTTTTATTATTTGATGAACATTAAAGCTTTATCAACAAGTAAAATAGAAATATTAAAGCTGAAGGCACCTAACAATAAGCCAGTTTTTTTTCCAAATTTATATATTTCGTTACTTTAAGTATTATCCTATATGTTTTAAAATAATTCAGCACGACACATTGAACAATGTGAGGGCGTAGTCAAATTCCTCTCTTGGAGAACTTGAACATTAATTGGATAATTGAAATTGCTTACAATATTAATAATAATATTTTTTGCGTCTTCTGTTTGTAAGAATAATTATTATCTTCATGTCTATAAGATTCAAATGAAAATATATTTAGTATATTAAATATCAAAAATTAATCAAAATAATCACGAAAAAAATAAATATTAGATAATTGTATTAAAATTAAATAAAAACTTGATAACGTTCTTTTATAAGATATAAATTTAAATCTGATGTAACATTTCAAATAACTATTTTGTACCCTAATATTGTTAATCTCTCACTGAATTAACCTATTAATTACTATCACATTTTAGATAATTAATTGAGCAGCAAATTGTACCAAAAATTATGATAATTTTGCAAAAATAACTCATCTTTTGATATAAGTTATCTTAAAAAGGAAGTAATACTTACCTAATAAATTATTTTTACGTTCCAGCTTGGCGAGTAGGTTTAATTTGGAAACACTTTTGCTTCCAAATTATTGGGACTATTAGTTTCAGTAAGTTATTTACTAGATCTGGCTGCCAATTCTCTCCTAATGTAACTTCTCATTTAGGTATGACTTATTGCGAGATAACAAATTAATTGAATTGAATAAATTTTTTATCTCACGAAAAACTTATTTACAGTTAAGATTTGATTTGAAGTTGTAGCATTTATGATAGTAAAATAGTGTCTTGTTGTACATATTTTATTTCTACGGGTTAATCATTTCCCTCTATCAAAGAATAAGTTTTACAATCATAGTATTTCATTTTCACTTAAACTGATATATGTCCCGAGGGCAATCTCAAATTGAATAATGATCTATCTAATTTCATTCAAACCAGTAACCAAAAAAATAAGATATTTAATTTCAATGTAAATCGATATTTGATTGTTTTAATTTTCATCAAATTGTCACTTTTACCAAAAGACCTACTTTCAATCAACATGTTTGGCCTTGTTTGGCCGCAAAAATAATCCCCTTATCATTAAAAAAATAATACTTTCTTCTCCAAACCTGCAAATCATCAAAGGCATAGTTTCGCAAACAATTTTTTGTCTGCGCGACATTCGATCCGAAAGAGAGGAGACACATTTATTGAGCAAGCTTTGCCTAAACTGTGTGTGTGTTTCTTTATCTTAATTTATTTCAGATTATCTCTCGGCGGCGTAGTTTATGAAAGTATAACTAATGCAGGTGTCAACTCGGCAGCCGCTATAATATATAAAATAAAAACGTATTTATTCGGAGTCGAGGAGGGAAAATTTACGATTCCGGTGCCGCGCTTGTTTCAAAACGTCCCAAAATCGCGACGACAGATCTTTGTAATATTGCTCGGAGCGCGCCGGTAAAAGTTGTCCTTTTTTTCTTATCATGAAACTATAATTTCAACAGCTAGTTGCATCGATTTATTTGCGCATTATTATTTTCGTCGCGTTTTTTCTGCGGCGATCGTACGCAGCGATATGACTTTTGTGTCACATAAAACTTTGCAACATTTTCCAACCTCAAACGGAAATGACACCTCGATATAAAAAGTGGTCCTTTTCTCGTGCAGTCATGCATTTATGTAACTAAATTTTATGTAATGAATAATCTCAGCGTTTTCGACACGAAATTGGTGACGAAATTGGGGTAAAAAAAATAAGCCAGACGGACGAATTTAATTATTGCGGGGCGAAAAAAGAAGGCGAAAAGAAAGAGAGCTGCGTGCACGCGCTCGCTGAAAAGAGAAAGGAAGAATTTATTTTGTACGCGAATGTATAATGACACAAATAATTATTGCGGGGATCAAAGAACCCATGCCTCTCTTATGTATTTCGCGAGCAGTGCATGCCCTAGAAAAATTCCGAGAAACGGTACGACCGAGTCCGATTCGAGGGACATTCCAGCTTTATTGTGCTGCCAAACGACAGGAGCAATTAATTAAACAAAAAAATTCGCCGAATAAATCCTTTCAGACTGCAATTCATTCCGAGAAACGAGTCCTGCAATAATTTTACTTACACAGAAACATTCATTATTAATTTTGAGCTCATATGCGTAAATCAGTTGGGGGAAAGTCAAAATTTTTAGCTAAAATCCACCCCAATAATTAAAGGGAGAGCTGCCAAAAAATTTTAACTGACATTTTTTTTTCTATAAATTTTATGCAAAAATCATAGTTTTTTTTTCAATTCAAGTGATGGAGTTTTATCTAAATTTAAAATAATAATATAGAACAACTTTTCAACTTACAATTTAAAGTCCGTGCTGATTTTTATTTGAAATCGGTGATTGAAGATTTCATATTATGTCTTTTTCATATAAATAACTTAGGGCGACTTGCACCTTATTCGTCTTTCGTCTGGAAAGTTGTGGACATAAATTATTCTCGGTGCAACGGGGATGCTGCTGCAGCGTTTAATGTCATTATTATGGATGCTGTGCTCGAGTACGTAGCGTGTCTCGTTAATCAGCCGCAGCACCGGCCGAGATAAATTACTAATCTGTTGACATTTCGAATGCAGGTGCTGCGGTTGATTCACTTTTATAGCGTAGACGTGCGTTTATTTCCACGGTGAAAGCATAGAGATGCAAAATCACTTACTTATTTCCATAATGCTTGCCTCGTTTGTTTGTACGTCGCCGTCGGTGGCTGCTGCCGAGATGGAACATTTTCGCCGATCCCATGCAACTTTCTTGGCGGGATTTTTAGATTATTACTTCATTTTCCTGCTGTGCTTTGAATGTAGAATTTTTAAGCAGCCTCCTGTTGTGCAAACGTCTTCATTATAAAGTTGTAATTTAAAATTCAATTTCACAAAAGGATAACTTGATGTGATATTTTGTCAAAATTTAATTACACAAGTTAAAGTTTTTATTATTATTATTATTTTTTTTTTAATTTGCTCAAAAATTAGTTATCTCAATAGCAAACGTTGTCATTTTGATTTCAAATAGACAAGATTAAATTTTTTTATTCACCAATAAAGACTCATTTGAGATTTTTTTACTATTTTGAGACTCTATATGAACTTCTTTTTCAGTCTAATAAAAACGGTGCAAATTGCACTTAATAATTTAAGTTTCAACCGTCTTTCATATCAATTAAATTATTTTTATAAAATCATTTTAATTTAAATTTTATTTAATTAAACCCCACTCTTTATGCTTCAAATTAATATAACTTTTGATTTTGAGGTCATTAATAATAAAATTAATTTCCAGCTTATTTCTTATTAATTTTTCTACACATTTCACAACAATTTTTATTTTTTTATTAATTTTATTTTGTAACAAGTAATTACAAAATTATTAATTTGTTTCAGATGTATTAACTGTGCCAGCAAACCGGACGATTATCTCGAGCACCTTCTTCGAACAGGACGTACGCGTCAGTGGCGTTCCGAAACCTGCGGCCCTGATTGCCCTGAATCCCTTTGACATCACCCCCGAGCCATTCAGAACCTCCCCAGCCCTTCTGTCTTTTGACCCATCTTCAATATCTTTGGGCCTAGACACTCCTCCCAAACCAAAAAAGTCGCCTACCAAATGTCACCAAACGCAGACGGAACCGTTCGATTTCCGTCAACCTTTGGACGAAGAAGAAAATCAAAGGGTTGAAGACTTTGATGAGGAGGAAAAAGTCCAAGCTCCGCCGGTTTTCATCAGCAATGGACCGTCAACTCGCAGACAACCGAAAGGTAGGACAAATTGTATTTTTAATTTTATAAATTTACGCGTGGGAAATTCGTAGCGAAAATTTGTATCATTTTAAAAAGAATTTTAAAAATTTCTTACTAACTTTGCTCTTTCTTTATGGCGGGAAAAAAAAATTATTCAAGAATAACCACATTCTTAAAACTTCCTTCTTTCAAAGATTTATGACAGCAACCTTGATACTTCTGCGTTCTTGTGTCATTTTTCACGAAAAATTTTATCCGCATTACCTAAATCGCGTTTGCGGGCGTTGTTTTTTTTTACACCCAAATCGATTAAATTATGCTGTTTGAATTTCGTGTGGGAAAAATGCACTCGGCCGTGATCTCTGTGCACATTCACAGAATTTGCGTGAGCAGGGAAATATAAAGAGCGCGGACACTCGAACGCGCACGACTCACCTTGAAAATCGAACGAAAATTGGGCGAACTCGGTCGGTCCAGCCCAGGTTAAAGTTTGGGCCAAATGAGCGGGCGTTGCTCGCATTGTCTGCGGCGAATTATATAATAATGAAATTAAATTTCACCTCTGGGCGCGCACATGACTGATGTTTGTTTACCCGCATAAATATAATTAATTAACGTCATAAGCTCTGAACATTAATTCACGCATTATGCCTGGCAGATTAGGAAATGCAATTTTTTCACAATTCAATTTATATTCTAGAATTTTTTAACTTCAAAGGTTCATAAATTGTATTACAATAATTCCATTTGCAAAAAAATATTGACTGCCAAAATAAATTTTGAAGTAAATTAAAAAAAAAGCTGAAAAATTAATAGAAAAACACGTTTTCAACTCATCATTTGATAATTGTTTATTAATAGAACTTTTTACAGGCAATTCGGAATATTTTCCTGGTGTTGTTTGTTGTTTAAGACTAAAATATTATAATTATCTGCATTTTTTTTTTTAATATTTTCTGAAAATCACGATTTTATAACGTTATGGAAAATTTGGATTAAGAATAATTTTTTTATAAAGGTATAAAGACTTTTACCTCGATTAGTTTCTCGAAATTCATTTGCATGGTTTTATGGAGTCTCGTATGCGCATATTTTCCCCAATGATGAACGTCAGGCGTCGCATAATATTTTAATTTTCACCGGATACCGCACGACGGCTGCTGTCGCCTGCTGGCTGGAGTCATTGAAACATTTCTTTATTAAAAGTGGCAACTCGTATGTAACTGTACAAGAAGTAAACATTGGCAAATAATAATAAGGGGTCATTTATCACGGGCACATACGCGCGGATTGTGAGCCGCGCACATTTGCATACAAGTCTTGAATAAGAAATTGCTGAAATTTCGAGGAGCCGCCATTCTTGTTGCCGAGCAATAACTTATCCTTAATTAAAATTGTCGTCGAAAAAAAGAGAAAGACACTGGCAAAAATTCTCGGAACGAAATAAAAAATCGGTCGAAGGAGAAAGAACGAGAAAGAAAGGCATTTTTTTTTGTTCTAAACGTGTGCTAAATCCTCATTGCGATCGAAAGTGGAAGCAATTATTTCAGAAATATTTCCCATCGAGAAAGAATCCACTTCCTAGTGATGCAACATGCGTTTATTTAGATATTCGCTAATAGCAATTTTATATACATGCGTGAGTAATTGGAAAGAAAGAAACAATCAAAGAGGCCATGGGAATTTAATATGCAAATGGGCGCCGAAAGAGAGAAAGAAAGTTCCGTCAAAAGTACACAGACAGTACTTTTCCTTCATGAGATCTGTGATAACTACTGAGGAGGTCGAAGGGGTCAAAGCGCCGGTCCGAGCGTGATAATGTGACCACGACCTGCTTATTAGTCCGGTCGCTTAAACGAATTGATTTGCGGAGATGCAATCGCAAGTGACGCTGCTAAAGTGAGAAATTTTGTTTGTTGCCAATGTTGTGAGTCGCGAATTGGAGCAGCGGCTGCTGCTGGTCAACGCTCGCGCCTCGATTTCCACTCTCCCTTTCGGATTGTTTAGGAGCTGGACAGCCTCGAGCACATGTGCGCGCAAAGTTTCATTGATGTCGACTCCACTTCCACTTGTGAAAGAATTAAATAAATTTTTACGATATTTTTTAATAATTTGTAAGTGGTAAATTTTTTTAATTGCAATTTTTTTAATATTTACTGTTTTGAATATTATACAAATTTTAATTAAATAATTTAAAATGTATATATTTTCATGTATAATAATATATTTGCGAATGATGAAGCTTGATTAGAAAATAATTTTTTGCCTAATTACTGAAATTATTAATTTACTTAATAAATTCCTGATTTCCATTGGTCATGGAAATTAATAATGAACATCAAATTTATGTCTCTGCTGACAGTTGTTTGTACAACCTAGTTATTTCTAGATTCAAATCATGATTATAAATTTTTCGCCGGGCATTCTCTGCTGAAATACAACATCCATTAATATTTATTCTGCAATCAAATAATCCGTTTGTTGAAGAAAGCAAAACTTCAAATTATTTAAAAGAAAATAATTTTCTTTGAATTCTATATTATTGTCGTTGTTGGACCTGTCTTTCTAATTTTCGATTAAAACATTCGATTGAATTTGAAAAAATGATATGCTGGGAAGACTTGAAAAGAATTATTTAAGGAATTATAAGACTTAATGATAAATTTTTGTCAAATTGATTTATTCAAAAAGGCTTCTAAAATCCCATTTTCCATCAATTTATGATACATTTCAACCTCGGAACCAAATATAAATTTTAAATTTCCTTTAATATTCATACTTAATTAAATTCCTTTGAATATTTTATGTTACACGCTCATTTGACAGTAAGTAAATTTTTTTAGAAACGAATAGGCTATAATTTTATATCGTCAATCAATCTATTTGAGGATAAAAAGAAGTTAAAAAGAATTATTGCATTTTCTTGCATTAAAGTTCGCCTTTTCTATTAGAATTCCTAGAGATCAATTTAATCCTGACGCAAATTCTATCCTTCCAGTTTCAAAATAAATAAATCACCTCATCTAATGATGAAAAGCGGCTTCATACTGAGAAGATAATTTTCTCGAAATTTCCTCGTGCAATTATCTAATGGCAACGCGCAAAAAGGCCTTCGAATGCCAGCAGCAGCCTATTTATTTAGCAACGCGAAAAATTCCACACTTGTTTCTTCAAAAGGGGCCTGATTTGCATTCGAAACTATCATTTCCTCTCAGCAAGCCTTATAAAATCGTATAATGATACAAATTTGCGAATCGCGATCTTATCGAGTTATAGAAAAGTTTCACGAGTCCGTAATTTGAATAATTATTTTGATCGATTTGCCGAAACCACCGAATATGGCGCAATCCCAGCATAATTATACCGTTTTATTAACAGTTTCTCTGCTCAATTGGACTGCAGCTTTCTGGGAAATCGTTATGTGCTCTCGTTTTCGTGCACTCGTATATATACTGATTATCAAACTGGTCGTAATTATCTCATAACTCTTTGACAACGCGCGTGTCTTATGCATCCAGCGGATTTTCCTCAATAACGAGAACACGCTCGCAGGCGTTGCAGAACTTTAATATGCTCATGTTTAATTTCACCTGATGTTTATAGACATTTCCCTGCATTATTTTTGCAATTATTTCTGTTTAATTATTTGCAGTAATAAAATGTCATAATATATCTTACAACAAATTATTTATTTGTCACTAGAAAATAATAATAAAAAGTTGAAAAATGGAACATTTTCCTAGCAGTATAGGTTTTTCATCTACTTAAAACGAGGAAAATTAAACAATTTCGTCCTTCAGTTGAAAATATGTTTATCCTTATTATTTTTTTTATGCTCCTCGTTTGTACTTCAGATTTTAAATTTGAAAAAAGAGAAGAAAGGGTTGTTTTTTAATTGTTAAATTGTTTATAATCAAATTCTATCAATTATAAGTAATTTTGAAGATTCTCAAATACCAGCTGAGAAGTTATATCAGCAAAAGTTTGTACCATTCTGGAAACATTGAAGCTTAATAACATTTTGTAATTTATGTTCAATCATGTTTTTTTAAACTTTTCAAAAATATTTATAGGAGCTTCAGTTAATACAGTAGATATTTTTTATGGTTTTCAAAACAAGGATTTTCATTCAATTTGTACTATTTTTGTTTTAAAAGTCATTTATAATCTTACGTCTGCCTCATTTTTCTAAATACGAATGTTTTACCTGAGGAAAATCTACTGAAATGATAAAAAATATCAATTCTGCGCTTCATTTACCTCTAAAATTACCATGTTTGTTTTTACAACAATTGAATTTTTTTACTGCAATTAACTTGGGGCATAAAATTATTTAATTAAAAGATGTAAAAATATAATTTAATGTTGTAATCTTTGTTTTCAATTTCTAGTAAAAAAAATTTTTTGCACAATAATGCAATAATTGCATTTATGAGTTCTGTGGTGTCAATGATTGTCAATTATTGGAGAGATAGTTGCACGTGACTTGAGCACAATTGCATTATTATAAAATTATGACACGGCTGCCACTCTCGAGGAAAACAATACACAAGAAAAGCCGCCGCACCAGTTTTATGTAACGGCGCACGAGAAATGGGTGCAAAAGGTGCATTAAATTATTTATCGCGGCACTCAAGGCCAATTCAAATCACGCGGGTGGGCAAATTTTGGCCGCACGACGACTTCATGCTAATTTCTTTCGCCGCCCATTGTTCAAAAAGAAAAAAAATCACGCAACCGAATTCACCTCGCCGGCGGGCGTCAAATTTCAAATCGCCCCACAATGTTCCAACTTACGCAAGCATCGTTCTAATTGAATCAACACACATAAAATTAATTTGATCAGCCCACACTCGCCTCTGCAGACTGTGTTTTTTAATTGCTCTCCATAGAGCAAAACTGGATCTCTGGTTTGGGCGGAATCGAGCACTGCTTTCAATTATTGAACGAAAACTATTACCGCCTATGTAATTTCTTAATTGCCTTTATCATATCAAAGGGCGGCGCAATAAATCAGG